CATTAGTTAATTTTTTAATCTAAAAGTAAATATTAAAAAAACTGATGTTTTTTAATCATTTAAAATGTATATATAAAAAAAAATTTTCTTCTCACATCCTCCATCTAGGAAATTTCATAGGGCTTAGCAACCTATAACAAGCAGCAAATGAGTACATACGACATAACTAGAAGAGATAATTGTTTACTTTACTTGTTTATTTACTGTTATATGTTTTAAGAAAAATAAGTTTGCAAACTTATTTGTAAATAATATTAATGTATATACATATATAATGTATAATAATTAAAATGTGACTGTATTATACAAAATACTAGTCCATTGAAGCACAGCCAATACAGGTCATTTTGTAAAGACTAAAGGTCAGTTTTATATTATTGGATACTGTATCACGAGTGCACGTGCACTGTGTCATTGTAACTTCTGTATTGTTAGCCAGGTATGGCTGGAATTCAGTATAATAAAACTAATAAATATATAAAGTTATGAGATTTAATCTATTTAGACTAAACATTTGTGTTTTCGTGTTATAATCTGTGGTCATTCTAGAATGAAAAAAGCATAATTTAAATTTATTTCCTAATTTTTTTTTATGATGGTTACAAGGCCAGTCAAATTCTAGAATGACAAAAGCATAATTTAAATTTATTTCCTAATTTTTTATGGTGGTTACAAGGCCAGTCAAATTGACAGACCCCATAGAGTTAGGGTAGAGAAAATAACAGAAAAAATATAAAGTTTTACTTAAAACAAATGTTTGAAATGTATTTAGGAGGTTTTATACATTACATAAATAATACTTGAGATTTTTGGGACGAACAATAATTTCTTAGTTATAACATGAAAATCACATTGCACTTGGACTGGTAACAAAACAGACTTGATATTTTCACAAACAAATCTATAATAAAAATACTTCATTAAAAAATTTAGGTAAATTTTTTGTGTACAAAAGACTTGTAATCTTTACTAAAAGTCTACCAAATTTTGTGAAAATACACTTACTGCATTAAAAGTTAAAGTATAAATACTTAACTCATGTATATTATACCGAGCCCATCGCAAAAGGATTAAGAAAAGCCATCAAGCCTTATTTCTAGTTCCTGCTCACAAATTTATAAGAAATTAGCTAATGAAAAACGAAAATTAATATTAAGTTCTGATCAAAGCAAGCTACCTACATAGACCAGAACTCACAAATATACCCAGTAATAATCATAGTTAATTGAATATGCTGTTCAAAGTACCTTAACTATAATGTTTAGAATACATTGTTTCATTAGTTGGATACCTTTAATGTTAATCTTTTCGGCTGTAAACCCAATAATATCAAACAAGGTTCTACCAGTAGATAAGACATAGATAATCGCTATAATAAAATAAAAATGAAACTGGAAATAATAAAAATTAATAGATAAAACTAGATATACTAAATATTCTTATCAAAACTGTGTGTCCAAGTAAGATTACAACAATGTGGTAAAAGTTTCACTTGCTTAGACAATGTCCACGTAAGAAATACCACACCATGGTAAAAGTTGAAGTTGGCTTGGCCAACTTAGTAGATTTAGGCTAGTCCTTAATCAATAAACTAAGCTGACAAAATCAAAATAGTTTCTTAATTTAAAAAAATGACACAATGAAACTGAAATTATGAGATGAGTCAAGAAAGTACTTTCTAATAGATGGAAAAAAACTTACACTTAATAACTACAGTATTGTTTTGCTTGAAAAAATAAAACAAATAATAAACACACTTAAGATAATCAAAAGAAATCCTTTGGACATTCAACATAAACAAAAAAAACAATACTAAAGGGGGAAATAGAAAACATCAAGTAGAAAATAAAATATGGGATTAACTTTTGAAGAATCTCAGAAAAGCAAAACATGCAACTTTAAAAACTTACAGAGACCGACTTGGAGCTTGATTGTATGAAGGTATGTATGTATGATCCACATTCACATCTTTCCACTGCGGAGTGACTTTTTCATTGGGACCTTGGTACCGGTTTGACATTTGTTACTGTGTTAAACTTATGATTAAGGTTTATTTATTACCAAATTAAGACATCTCTAACCATTATTAGTCTCAAATTGAACTCCTAATTATAAGATTTAAATGTCCATTTTCATAATTGTTTTCATGTTACATCTAGTACACTTCAGAAAAAGAGTATTTTGAAAGCATGGTTCATGACAAAACCTTGTTTAAATGTACATTTGTTTCTGTTTTAAACTTGTAATAAAGTTTTCTTCATTGCCCATCCAAGTCCTCTCTTAACTTGTATTATATGTAAATCTATAACACAGGCGATGGTTTTATTGTCTTGAAATGTTTACATGTTCAACAGTAATTCCTATACGCTGAATCTGAAAATGATATGCATTTTCTCCATCATGTACAGATTTTTCACAAAACATTATACTGCAATACATAAAAGAAAGACCACAACCGAACATAAACTTTTTTCAAAATAAGCAATTCATTATGATCACATATAATTTCATTATCAGGTCGTTGTGATAACTAAGATATATTATTGGCATTAAAAGTGGTAATGAAATAACATATCTTTTTTTTCTTTTTTTTAATTCAAGATTTACCTTGTCACTCTTTACCCACTAATCTTACGTGAAGCAAAAAAAAACCATATCCAATAACTATTTTATGGTTTCATACTTGACTAAATCAAGTAGACTTTCTTGAATTTCTACCAAATAAAGCTTGGTCTGACAGACCTAAAAACCTTCATACACAAACCAAAAAAATCCAACAACACACTTAGATTGCTGCCAATTATAGTACTTTTGGGTAAAAAAATGAGGAAGAGACAGTAATATAATTTAGTTCTGTTATGAAAATTACCAGCAAACAATATAACAAAGATTTTATTACAAAAACACACTGTGTGAGAAAAAATTAAAAGAAGACCAGTAGCCCACTAAAGTGCTGTAGGATTAGTGTATTAGTATTTTGCCCAAATATACATAAAGCATAAAAGTATGTGCGTCTCTCTGTTGTCCTTTATCTACCTACTCCTAGTTTGCTGGTCCAATCTCAACCAAACTTTGGGGAATGATAGTTTGATACACAAGAGACATGTTAATGGAGGTTCACAACCACCTACACCCCTATTATTGCTGATATTGAGCCTATATTATATTTGACGTAAGTTAATATTAATTACATTAATAGATGATGCCACATCTGTAAACAAATATTAATTAATTTTCTGTAACTTAACATATACAAAGTATGGGGTAGGGCACACAAAAGTATATCTCAGAGAGTGCAATAGCACTCTCTACGGAGGAATGCAATGAAAAAAATGGCCACCACTATTGCAATAAAACATAAACTCTACTGAAGTTTTGACTCCAACAGCCACCATAAGGCTGATATGAAGAGCCGCTTCTTGAGTTATACCCACTTCCTACTTTGACCTGTGATGTTTCAACTTTGGTCTGTAAGAAAATTTTGCAGCCAATGACCATCAATTAATTTATTATGTGAAACACTGTGGAAGAACATTAAGAGCTGGGTGTTGAAAGCAGGTAACAGAAAGCACCCCTTACTGCCACTACTTTGGCTGCTACCTCTTAATACAAAGTCACCCTGATTATCATACAGTGTATACATGTTTTAACTATATACATATTGAGTTTTTAAACCTTATACAAAACTTTTAGGCGAGGTGATAATGAATACTGAAATAATATGTTATAAATAAATTGTGTGAAAGTTAGGATATTTGTATTATTTATTATAGCATCCATCCCCACATTTATTAAGTTCATAACCTGGACAATGGATGGATACCTCAGCTTGTTCTCCTACAAATTACACCAAAATTACAAAAAAGTGCAGTTTTTGCTTAATATGTGGTCAAGAAAGTCATTTAAGTTGTTTTCTATCAAGCTGTTTTGTTTCTTTGTTGTTCTCTGGAGTTAACACCTGTTCTGCCCATGGGAAGGTTTGGCAAATATAATGCTCCACATTGTGCAAGAATGTAGACAGCACAGCAGCTGTATCTTCCAATGGTTGATCAGGATATATTTCAAGATTACTACCTCTGTCATACTTGAATGGGAATGGCCAGTGACATGGTTGTGCTAGCCATTATGGGTGCATCCAATATACAATAAATAAGGAGCTTTAAGTTTAAACAGTCTGGTAGATGATCTTGGCCTAGCCATTGAAAGGAAGTTAATACCTTTGATCCAATAGAAGTGACTGTCCTTTGTCATCCAAGCTAGTAAAACAGTGTCTGTAATATTATAAAGATCTTTTCATTGTGTTTACATCATGTCTGGTCTCTATATTTTGTTCTCACAAACTTAAGTATTCAGAGAAACTCAATAACAGATATTTTATTGGATTTCCTGTTATCCAAAGGACCTATGGTTTTTGTACCAAGAATTTTCAGTTTTGCCTGAACATGCCACAAATGTACTCAAAATGACAGAAAATCTAAATATTCTTCAAATTCTATACAAATATAGGTCCACTGTGGTGAGTAAAAGACATCTAAAAACACACAATACATATAATACACAGTCCACCACTATAAGAACCAAGTCTTGTTTTTTTCAATTTACCCTTAGCCAAGGTTACCAATGCGAAGTGGGATTCACTAAATGAGTATAACTTAGTGATAAATGGTGAATACTATAGAAATATAGGTTTCCTATGGTGAGTACAAGTCAACCAAAAAAATACCATATATACACACACACACACACACACACACACACATATATACGAAAACTGTGTTTAAACATATGAAAGTGGAAATTAATTTTGCTTGAATCTAAACCAAAATATGTGCAATCAGCAAGTATTAGAAGACACAGAAGATTAAGACAAGAATTCAAAGGCAAGTCTTGGCTTTTTCAAATCAGAAACACGTCTGTTTGATATCGACAAACTTCATTTCCAATTAACCTTCTCTCAATAGCTGACCCATCAGAAAACTGGTTTAAAATAATTCGGTTGTATCTATGATCATAAAGCAGTTCCACATACACAAAAAGCAAAGTAATACTCAGTAATGATACCCCATGAACAGAATATAATTTCTATGATTTGCTACAGAAAGTATCACCTAAAGTTACATTTTCCACATGATTTCAACCAGAATATATTCCAAGTCAAAAATGGGATAAATTAAAAATGTTTGTGAATATGAAATGCAATGTTATCCACCATATTTGCCACTACCCAAAAAACTAATGTTAATATGGTGAAAATAAAATCAATACAGAAATAGTTTGGGCAAAAATATATCCTACAACCCTCTTTATATTGATCATTCCTATTTATGGTTAACAATAAATAGCTTTGTAAAAAGTAACTAACTTCATTGCACTGTCAATAACAAGACTCCCAAGTTCTGATTAACAGTTTATAGTGTCTAGCCAACTCCAAGCATTCTAGAATTTTTGTACAAACTGGATGTATTCTCTGATCAAGAAAATTATGTTATTAGTACCAATTTGCAACATTATCGGTCTTAAATAAAAAACAAAATATAGGTCAACTTGCCTAATGTCAGGTGCATTTAAAGCCCACTGTATGCAAACCTGTTAGCAATTTTCTGTACCTTGCAAAAAGTTTTCCCATCTTTTTTGCTATGACAATTCTGATAAATACTGCTATTTGTAATTTTTGATTAAGAAGTTGGTAAAGTGTGCTTGTAATTAACATTAATTCACTGTATTGTATAAACATTCTGAATGGTCAAAATAAAACATACTTGTATTGGAAATATAGTTGTTCTTTTCATTTTATTTAAGCTACAAATATAATGTACTTTGGGCAACTGTAATTTTCTTAGGTTAATATATTTATCTTAATACTGCAATAATTTCTTTAAAAATTGTGGCTATGACAAGTATGGGCTAAACTTTTGGCTACAAAGAAGAATTATAGTGGATTGGTCCTAGAAATTTACATTATAGAATAGTGAGATATGAGGTACTTTCATATCACATATATACTTTTTCCATTTTAAAAATTGTTTCATTATTTGTATTTCTTAATCTAAAACATTCAACTCTTGAGTACTATACGACATTAGTAAGGAAATGTATGTAAATAAACAAAAATTCACAAGTTTAATTATTCCAATTAAAAAAAAACAGACCAAAACAAATATTAAAAAAATACCAGGCAGTTCTCCCACACATTATTATTAACTAAAATGCTTGAACTCTATGGCCGTCTTCGTTCTTTGAGTATTTTGACCATCCTGAAAAAAAAAGAATATAAAATGTACAATGATAACATGAAAAGATAGCAAAAACCAAATCAAACTGTATATACTGACAAATAAACAATCAGATAACACTGGGATACACTTTTTGGAAACTACTCTTTTTAAATGGCTCATGTCAATATATAAGAGGAACTTTATTGTAAATTCCTTTTATTTCTTCCCACTCTTTAATGTAAACATTCATGGTATCCTCAAATTACAGGCTGTTACATCTCAAAAAACACATTTATTATTCCTAACTCTCCAGTGTTTTACAGTATTTCTTAAAAACAACTATATCACTAATAGTATGAAGAAACAAGAGAGAATTTATGGTCATCCCCAACAAGGTACACTCACACACTGATGTATATTTATTTTAATTTCCTATTGCTTTTGCATAATTGAATTTACAGCATCAAATAATACCTCATAAAAAACAGTAAGTCCTAGCAATAATACTGAAAAAAAAATGCTGTCATTCTTGAATATATTCATCTCTGTCTTTATGTTGTCATTTATAATTTGAGGCATATTTTAAAAGACAACTTTTAGTTTTTCATTTTTGATAAAAGATACTTTCACACATGGGTCATTTGTCAACTGTAACAAATTAAACTTATAAACTGCCATTTTTTTTATCAGATGTTGCAATTTTTTCAACTGGTGATTAGTGTTCTCTCTAAGCTGCACAGCCTCACAACTACCAATCTAGTGTCACGCACTTCATTATTTTAGCCGCACACATACTCAGTAATGG